ATGAAGTTACAAGGCAAAAGCAATCCAAAGACCATCATCGTCTCGATCTAACGTCTACTACCAGAGTAATTCAAATGTTGATGAAGGATAATGCAGGATCAAATGTTGATTGAAGGATAATTATCGAAATGGAACCTCACGACACGTCTTTAGATGTAGAATTTTGTAAAACTCGATTTTTGTTTTCTTGGTATTGGTTCATGGAGATCTACGAGAACTCGTAGGTTCAAGTTCGTGCTGAAACACGCAAATTAGAGAAAAAATAACTAAAAGTCATCGACTTACGTGAAATGGTACAAACTCGAGCTTTGGGATCGTGCTATTTTACACGAACTTGTGAGTTGTTTTCTTCTTTTTTTGTTAAAAACTATTTAAATTAAAAGAAAACAAAAATAGTTCGTGTGATTTGGCACGAACTTGTGTTTAGAGTTGGTGACAAAATCATACGATCTCATTGTAATTAGTTCATGTGATTTGACACGAACTCTAACCATGAGTTTGTGCCAAACCACATGAACTATATTTTTTGTGTTTACTATTTGTTTATTTTATGTAATTGTTATTTGTTTGATGCAGGAAGAACAAGTACAAATAGATGTTGATGATAGTTATTAACAAGTTCGAGTTACACGATTATAGTCAGTATTTTAACATTTCCACTATGATCGAGAATAGAGAACAATTAATTGATTGGATGAAGAATATTGTCAATAGTCACGGTCATTTATTGATATATCAATCTACCCACTCCATTAGTTCATATAAAACGAGTCATAGGTCTTATACAGAAACAACAAATAAAGTAGATATGCAAAGTTTTCAAAAGTTTGGGACCAATAAATTTTTATATCCCTTCCAATTATAAGGTACAATGAACCGTGATAGAACTTGGGACCCATGCTTAAAAAATATCTATGATAGTCACGTCCTGTAACTGTATCTTCCTAGACCTGGTTAGTCGTTTGACTAAAGAGCAAGTTGAAACGACAAAATTTGTGATAAAAAGGCACGTAAAGTCAAAGAGAATTTTGGGTCGTTTGAGAAAAGAGGTCCCGGACATGGCGGCAAGCTTGAGTGATATGTATAATGTATGTTTGAAAATGAGTCGAGACGAAATGCAGGGAAAACCTATGCAATATATGTGGCACCAAGTGAATGAATGTGAACATAAAAAATGGTTTCGAACAAACACAGATAGATAATACTTACAAAACCAATACGTAATACTTGTGGATTGTACTTACAAAACAAACAAGTAATAATTAGTTAAACTTCAACCATCATAATTGATAATTTATTTTTACAACCAGCTAATGATAATTTCATTTTGATATAGGTATCAAATGCCTCTATCGAAAAAAACAAATTGTTGTTACTCATGTGGGAAGGAACTTTATCATTGTTGTTGCGTTTACGTCACATGAATGACGTTGATCTAAAATTGCAGCAACACACAATCTAGCATGGACATGACCACGGGTCGGGTTGGGTCCGGGTCCTGGTCCAAATTTTAGGGGACCCGAAACAGACCCGTGGGAGGCGGGTCTGGGTCCGGGGCGGATCCACTCGGGTCAATCGGATGCTTCTCTTGCACATACCGTAGTAATGAACAATAATCAATTGTGAATTCAAAATTGTAATATTTCTAAAAGAAATAGTATTAGTATGCAATAAATAATTTAGAAAATAAAACATGAATAAATATAATTACCGTGCAATATTTGCATTTTGTTTGGATTTCTACTTCAAGCAACAGCCTCAAACTTCGAATAAGTATCTAAGTTGTCACGTCGGAAATAAGGGAAATACTCGTAAATCCAACACTGCAAATTAAACAATTGATATTAAAACATAATAAATAAAACATTTTAAACAATTCAAGATAAAGTAAATAAAATTGATTTACATGAAGAAGCGTCGTGCATCAAGCAAGCCCTTTCATCATGGCTCGAGTACTAATGCCCGACTCAATAGGTGCAGTTCGTGTGGTACTACATGAACTAAGCTGCTGATTTCGTGCAATTCTACACGAATTGCACAAACTTCTAATTCTTTCTTAAACCGAAATTAAATATTTAATTAAAAAAAATAGTTCATGAGTTTGTGTATATCTACACGAGCTCAACCACTGAGTTCGTGTAGAAGTACTTGAACTAAAAAAATACTGGGTGAGTTCGTTTAGACATGAACTAGGTGGTCCAGTTCATGTAGTTCTACACAAAATCACCCAAATATTTTTTTTATTCGATAATTTACATAAGACAATGAACGATAAATCATAAAAATTACCTCCGATGTGTTCTTTTAAACCTCGGATTGCTTCAAAGAATTCAAAGGAAGAGAAAGTTTGAGAGAGATTGTAAAACAAAAAAAAATGAGGAAAAAATGCCTGCAAGAACTGTTTTACGCCGGCAAAAAAACACCCCATTTTCCTTTCTCCAATTTTATTATATTACTCTTTTTTTTCTTTTGGGGAAATGATATTAGTTTTTTTTTGTGGTAGTAATTCTACGTTTTAGTTATTCGACATTATTTAAGCCTTCAAATTCATATTTTCATATGCTGGATTAATATTTCTATAAGATCAAACAAAATTGAATAATCACATGTTTATAGTGTGTGATATATTCACTCGAAACTTTTCTTTGTAAGTTGCAATAAATTAAGACCAATTAAACAAGCAACATTCTCAATAAAATAAGTTATAACTCCAGGAAAGAAATTAAGCAGGATTAAAGTACAATTGCGATTTTAATTTTAATTTTTTTAATCTCGATGTAGTACGTAAATTAATCAATTTTGTTAAGCTCGGTGTAGTTAGCTCAAGTGAACTAACTCGCGTTATTCGGGAAAGGTAGCTAAAATAGGGTGGTAAACGAGCCGAGCTGGCTCGTGAGCTCGATGAGCCGGCTCGAAAAAAGCTCGAACTCGAACTCGAGTTTTTCGTGTTCAAGCTCGAGCTCGCGAGCTCGAGCTTTCTGACGAGCCGAGCTCGAGCCAGTTTTTAGTTGTTCGTGAGCTCACAAGTCGGCTCACGAGCCTTATTTATTATTTTTATTTTTTATTAGTTTTTATTAAATAATGTATAAATATATAAAATATTATAGAAATAAATAAAAATAAAATATAAATATTAGAAAATATATATAATTACAATTTATTGTTTATTTTGTAATTTTTTAAAATAATTTTTAATAATAATAAAATAATAATTAAAAAAATATTTAAAAAAACAACAAAATGAGCATGGGCTCAAGTTCGACAAAATGGATACGAGCTCGAGCTCGAGCCAAAAAAGAAGGAACTCGACGAGATCGACTCGTTTACACCCCTAAGCTCAAACCCTTAATATTTTGATTGCAACTCTCTCTTCTAGACTTCAATTAAATGGTTTAAATTGAATTAGAAAGTCATGAATAGGACTACAGTATTTATGTTTTATATTCTCAGATATTTGGATTGCATCAAGAGACAATATGAACATTTTTGTGACATCCTAAAATTGAAATCTGTTGGTAGTGCTTGGTATTTGCCCATAAGTTTCTTACTAGAGTTCCGGTCGACTCGATTCAAGTTTCATTAAAAAGAAAACAAACACCTCTAAAACTTTGATGTTTTGGATCTCCATAAATTAAAATTGCACGAGGGTCAAAATTGTGCACGTATCGTGAAACACGCTATTTTTGTGTATGTATTCTAAAAATCGATCAAGGTGGCCGATTAATCGATAACAGAGGTGGAGGCGGTCCCAAACCCTTATGATTTTAGTGTAAAGGTTTGAAAAATCGGATTTTTGCCTGTGAGGCGGTTTTAGGTAGTTTAAGGCGGGTTTAGGTGGTTCAATCGGTCTGAGGCGGTAAAACCTTGAAGACGGCTTAAACTTCGGTAGCAAAAATAGATCAAAAATTGGGTTTTTTTTCAATTCAAACTAAAAGTTGGGATTTTAATTAAAAAAAAAATGAGTTTATGCTTTATTTTGTTTATGTTAATTGTTATTGTTAAAGAACCTAGTGATGTATACCAGGAATATTCGCGAATAAATTTAAATTCAAAAAATTTGCCTTTTTATTTGTATTTTATAAAGATATTTATGTATTATGATCTTATTATTAAACTTTATTATGTTATTAGGAGATATAACTATGTTTAAATATTTTTTTATATATATATTGAGTATTTATAAATAATATTTAGAAATATATTATATTAAATTTTAAAAACCGGTTTATTTTTAATTTATCACCGATTAATCACCGTCGCGCCGACTCATCGTGAATCGGTGCCTAACCGCTAACCACATTATTACCGATTTTTACAACGTTCTAGCGAAGTAATTATGTAAAAAGAATGATGTGAGTTTTAATCTTACTCAAATAATAATATAATAATAATATCCAAACAAGGGGGTTTCCGTAATTTGATCATATATGAGGGTAGTTGTAATTTATCTTAATAATTATACAATGGTAAATTACACACACCCCTCTCAGGTATGCTAAAATAACTTTAAGATGCATGTGGTATCGATAATAACACTCACTCCTAAAATATAGTTAGAAACTCTAATGTGATAATGCGTTGGATACGTTATTTCGATAAAGTTCTAACGAACTATTAATTTGAGGAAGTGGTGGAGACAAAAGAGCTATCGGTAATTTAAGAAATGTTGAGGGGGCCATGTCACCCTCTTATATTATCCAACTATGACCCGAATACCTATCCAATTTTGCGTCCGGTCCAATTCTAACAACATTGTTTGAAATACAAAAAATATGTGCGATGCCGGTGATAATATAGTAAAATTTGTATTCAAACTTATAATAAACACAATAATTCAAAAACCAAAAATTGACACGTGTGAAGCTAGAACCCTGGATTCGCACCACGACTCGTAATTTGCCGGACTTTGCATGCAATCCTCTCTTTTTTGTGCATCTTTATTTTATATTATCTATAAATTAATTAAATCCGTAATTTATAAATTATTATATGTGACATAATTAATTAATTTCTGAGAAAAACACCACAAGATCAAAGGTGATCAAAATTACAACAATGGTGAACTCGCTTAGAGCACTGCTCAGAGCGCAAGCTGCATCTCTTTTCTCCTACTCTCTCCCCACCGGAAAATATTCCGGCGCCGGCGGTGCTGTCAGATTTGCCCAAGTTGTTTCCGGGTCGGGTCAACCCGGCGCTTCTGAGAAACCGGATCGAAAAGAAGGTCACAAATCCGATACCGGGTTAGTTTTCTATTTGCCTTAAAAAATAAACAAAATAAATAAATATAAAATAAATAGATATAATTATTTAGGGTTTCATCTGGAGGGTACGCAAAGAGATCCGACGAAGAAGGGTTCGGAGCAGAATATGGGGGGAATCAGTCTCTTTCTAAGGACGATGAGGATAAAATTGTCCATGGAAATTCCCCTGGTAATCTATTTTTATAATTACAATCAGCCCTGAGGTAAAGTTTATTTACGAACAACTCCCTACAGTTTTCAGAATTACATCCACCCCTTGGAATATGTAGATTTCTTACATTTAACACCTTTTGTAGGGGCTGGATGTAAGAAATTTACAAACTACAGGGCGTTGAATGTAATTTATGAAACAATAAGGGGTTGTTTTGTAATTATTCTTTACTTCAGGGAGGTTGTTGTAATTTACCCTATATTTATACATATTATTTCATTTATTTTGTAAATTAATTTATCAATTGGATATATTTCTCAATATAATATGGGGTATTTGTGAAGAATATGAGAAGAGTAAGAAGAGTTCTTGAAGAAGAGAAGGCCAATGAAAGAGAAATTGCAACAATGCTGCTTGTGTTAATTGTTTTTCAAGATTACATATATGTTGCATCTTGTATTTTGTTTTGTATATGTAATTTTTAAGTTTATTTTGAACCTTATATTACAAAATTACAGTTCAATAATTTGTTAAATAATAAATGGAATAATATTGAAATATTGTACTTATAGACGTACTTATATATCCGCATATTAGATTAATAATTACAAATTAAAGTGTTAGAAATAATTATATTTTGTAATATTAAAATATAAAAGTAGTAATATAACAATTCATATTATAAAATCAAATAAATCAAAATAATAAATTGATTCAAGTAATTAATTAAAAAAACAATCATTAAGTTTACGTATTTAAATATAATATTCATAAATATACGTGTTATATTAATGATGTCAATTTTTATACATGTTCATTCATGCGTATATATGTGCATGATTGTGCAAATTTATAATATAAATAAAATGAAGTATATACCAAATTTAACAAGTGTGACAAAGCAATTGATTAACACACATAAGCAATTACAATGAAGTGTCAACTAACAAAATAAAATAAGCAATTTAAAGAAGAAGGCATCAAATATTGAGTATTGGAAAACAATTTTGCTCTTTCATATTGTATTAATAGTTCTTAAGCAAATTCCGAAGCTATGCTATTCTTTAATAAGTTGTGATCAAATTCTAAGGCACAAGAATCTTAAGGGTATAAGCTTTTATAAGTTCTTGATTCAGCTATGTTTGGTTTTGATTCATCAATGGATTTGTCGAATAATTAAGTTGTCGATCTTTACTCGCGCGGTATCTGAAGAGGAGTTGGTTCCTTCGTAACAAAGCCATGCATGCGAGACTGTCGACTCGGACATTTGTACGTACAACGTAACATCGTCCAATGTCTCTTCTTCAATTTTTAATAATTTTGTTGGGATTTAATTCGTAATTCTTCTTAGTCTTCATAGGTGGAATCAAGTTATAGATCATCAAATGAGTTTAATTTTGCATTAGTATCATTAGTAAAATAAGAAATAAATAATCGGACAATTTTATCCATATAGAATAGGGGTGTGCACGGGTCATAAACTCGCGGGTTCTAAACCCGCTCTCATCCCATCAAACAACGGTTCTTGATTTTGAAGAATCAAACTTGTGGGTTTTCAACGGATTTACGATAGGTGGGTCCATGGCGGGTATGTAGTAGGACCCAATCTTTACGGGTCGAAACCCGTTATTGTCTAAACAATTTTTTTTATATATATAATTTATACGGGAGAATAATTAGAAACTAAAATTAATAACCTAAAATCTTAAATTGAAACCAAACATAAATAATGTAAATGTCAAGAGTAAATAAAATTAATACTACTCAAAAAAACATTATACAAGTCTTAACCATAAAATCCATTATAAAACTAAAAATAACTAATTCAAAACTTAAAAGACAAAATATAAATAAAATAAATATAGCATTTTCAAACATAACTAATGCTATTTAGCTCCATTCAACACCATTTTCTTCTGTTTTTTTTTTTTTTTTTTTTTTCTGCCGTGTGTTGATGGTTGTATATATATGTTTTTTTTCCTACATTTTCTTAAAGATTTTCATAATCTTTATAGGAAATACTTCCACAGTTATAGTTTAGTTTATTTATGTAATTGATATACTAGAGATACTTTATTTATCCATTAATATTATTAATTTATTATACTATATAATGTAAACAAAACGACGTCGTTTTTTATGGTGGGGCGGGACGGGTTTCACGGGTATTAAAAAAAAATGAACCCATCTTAAATCCAAACCTACGGTTCTTCACCATTTATTTAGGACTCAATTCTATGGATGGATCTATCCGTCCGGTTCCAACAGGGCGATTTTTCACGGGTTTGACGGGTGTAGCGGGTTGATGAGTCTGACTTGCTCACCCCAAATATATAATATACTTTAACATCCGCGAGATCCAGTTCTCGCGGAAAAACAATAAGAAATCCTGAAAAATTTATGGTGTCGGTCAGGGGCGAGTCCACCCTTGGGCAAGGTGGACTCAAGCCCACCCTCATTTTTTAATTTGCCCCCTATATTATACCATATATTTGGCCCACCCAAATTTTATTAACTAGTCCACCCAAAATTTCAATTAATGCAAAAGAAGCCCCATATTTTATTAACTAGCCTACCCAAAATTCAAATTAATTAAAAAAGTCTCAAATTTTACTAATTAGCCCACCCAAAATCCAAATTAATACAAAAAAAACTCTAAAAATTTGTTTTTTTTTTCTTTTTTTTTTTCGTTTCTCCTTTTCGTATTTTCAAAAAAAAAACCTAAAAAAATCTCGGGGGCGCTGCCCCGAACCCTCGAAAATTGAAGCCCCTCCTGTACCGAATTCCTTGTACCGAATTCCTGGACTCGCCACTGGAGTCGGTCGATAATGGCCACTTTGAGGCCACACTGCCTGTTGAAATTCCAAATAAATAAATCAAATAAATTTGTGTCCGAAAGGGATATATATAGTAGAATCTCGATAAATTAATAACCTCGTTTAAAAATATTTTTTTTTTCCCGGCCCCGACTCGAGCAGAAGGTGCTAAATTAATATTTTGATAATTAATATTTAACTAAATTAATAGAATTTTAGTGGTCCCAAATATATTTTTTTATAGAGATTTAACTGTAATATATATAATTGAAGGAAACGAACTAGGGTTTTAGTGTGTAGAAAAAAAGAGATACATTCAAAACACCTTGTTTAGATACTATTCTTCCGGCAGTTAATGTAGCTCCACCGGCCAAGAAACGAGCCTTTCGTTTTCTTACTGACGTATAAAGTCTTTTCGGTACTATGTACAAAAATCCACTTAGTTCTTTAGTTGTGTCAAAAACTCCCATTTTTGCTTGTACAAGAGCTTCCCTTTCTCAACTTATTATTTTTCAATTAATTAAAAATGACTAAGGTTAATATATTCATCCTTCAGTTGAGATATTCTTAATTGTTTAGACCCTCTTCAATGGAGGAATATATGAAATGGATAGTTATTTTGATATTCAACTTTCAAGGATGTAAAAATGCATGCGGGAAAAAGAGATATCAAAACATTAACTATCCAACAAACCTATCATAAATTGTTATGTGTCAATTTTGAATATATTTATACTTATTTAAAATTTGATGATTGGCGGTTTGAATAAATGAGTATAAAAATAATAAAACGAGCATCAAATTAATATTTGATGATCCATTTTAATACTTTGATATTGAAATTACTCTAATAGCAATTTTTTTTTATTATTATACCGTAATTCCAATATTACTAATTTAGTTATAATCAATTAACTTTTTTAGTATTTTATATTATAGCAAATTATGAAGATAAGTGTTATATCTCATATGTACTATACATTAGAAGAGAGAGTTGGATGCTATACTTGATTATATTATTTACATTAGGTGGATTTGAACTGTAATTTAACTATCTACTAAGCACACATACACATAGATTTTTTTTTCTTTTCATTTCGGAGAGAAACTAAAATATTCCGAAGTGCTAAAATAGGTTCAATTTCTATCTATAATATTTACTAATTATATTATAATTATTATTTTTTGGAAGGAATATTTACTAATTCACACGCAGTAGTGAAATACACGGTTGATTATTAACTATTGATCTGCACATAACCGCACGCACTGATATCATCATATGTATATGTTTTTAGTGGGAAGTTATTTCACTACATCATATGTATATTTTAGTGGGAAATTTTTTGACAACATCAACCGTTAATAAACTATCGATCTGCACACTATCACACCCACTGATATCATCATATGTATATGTTTTTAGTAGAAAGTTATTTCACTACACCATATATATATTTTAGTGGAAAATTATTTCACTACATCAATCGTTAATATTTAATAATTATCCGAAACATTTCACCGAGTATAGCATCTGGGTGTCAATTCCGAAACCTGCATGAGGCACACGTGGTATCTCCAAGACCGAATCCTTCCTCCACGTCCACAACATAACTATTCCCTCTCACAAACAAACTAAATATATACCTCAAATAAAAGCTTAATAAATCTCACTGATCCTGAAATTCCATATTATAAAAAAATAAAAATAATAATAATTAGAAGAAAATCAAAAGGAAAAAGCAAAGAATTAATTAATTAATTAATTAAATAATGGCGTCGAATCTGAACCCAAAGTACGCATACACGGTGGTGTACGTGAGTGACGTGGCAAAATCCGTCGCCTTCTACGCCAAAGCCTTCGGCTACCACGTCCGCCGCCTCGACGATTCTCGCCGGTGCGGTTCTATACAATTATTTATTTTCTTTTTTTTTTTATTTTTTCAATTTTTCTTAATTATATAATAAGTTAATTATGTATATTAATTAAATCAGATGGGGAGAGCTGGAGAGCGGACAAACAACGATAGCTTTCACGCCGGCGAAGCAGCACGAGACCGAGGATCTCACCGGAAAAGTTCAGATCCCTCATTCCGACAGCCAGAGGAATTCCGTCGAGGTCTGCTTCGACTATTCCGACGTCGATGCTGCCTACAAGGTCTGTGCGAATTAATCTCTGATTTCTTAATTTTTTTTTGTTCTGCCTGATGTAATTTCGA